GGGCTTTGGCCTTGACATTCCACCTTTAGCCCGACAGCCCAGCCCGCAGAACACGTAGCTGAGAAAGAAACAGATTTTCTTTAAAGCGGAGAGACACGGTGTCTGATTTTGTATTTTTTCCTAAAGACAGTATGCGCCGCCGTCCCTGCCGAGAGGGAGGCCGTGGCCTTTCCCAGAGCAGCTTCTCCCACCCTGAGGCGACACTTGCCATTAGCAAACACACCCACGGGGGTTTTGCCCTTAAGTTAACCTGCACTTGGCGCCAGTTCTTTGACGAGAGAAGAACCTTCCGTGTTTCTGCCAACTCCCGCTGTGACTGCGGTCCGCTGCCTTTGTATCTTGACGGCCCCAGGTCGTTCCCTGATTCAAGGCCGGACTGACGCCGTCCTGGCTACCTGTTCCGCGCACCCAGTCCACGGACACTGGCGGCATCGACGGTGCCATACACATTCCAGAGGGACGACGTGACCTGGTGCCAGGGCCACCTTGCGCCCCCCGTGGAGGGGCCGTGGTGCGCCGTCAGCCACGTTGCCATGGAATTTACCCGTTTTGTTTTCTCCTCTGGTTACGTAAACTCGCGTCCAGCCGCCTGTTTGGGCGCCCAGCTTTACTCCGAGGGCGCTGGTGGTGGAGGAGCCGACGGCACTCTTGGCGCCAGCCTTACACTCTCGTGCCCGCGGGCAGGCGGGTCTCTCTGCCCAGGCTGCTTCGCCAGAGCTTATTTCCGGCCTTCCAGCTTGGAAATTAAACTTCTTTTCCAAGTGTCAGGTCATGCTGAAAATAGAGATTTTGATTAAGACCCAGGATAATTTCATAATGTTCTAGGTTTACTGATTGGACTCTGTCTTTGAAAAGGATTAAGGGCTCAGCCTTTACACGTGGTACAGGCGTCCTCCACTGATTCGTTCATTTGTTTACCCTCCGTTCGCTCCTGACCATGTCTGTCTCCCAGAGGGGAGTCTTTTTGATTAAAATATCTGAGTCGGTCGGGGCACGTGAGATTGCCCACTCCTCCCTGGGCCTCTGCCCTCTGGCCGCCTGTGCGCAGCTGGCGCGATTGGGCGTGCAGCATCCGCCAGCGTACCCTTGCGCACCTCCCCCATCTGAGGTGGGGGGCGCTGTCCTGATGTGGCCCACCCGAATGGGACACTGAGACAGGGCGTGGCAGGTGGCTTTTGTGGGAGGGGTCCCAGGAAGCGTAAGTGAGGAACGGGGAAGGGGGCAGGGCCGGGAGGGGTGGCGACGTGTGCGGGGGATGGGGTGGGTGCCGGTGGTGTCTGGAGTGCTGGGGGCGCCGGGCTGTGGACCTGCAGACCAACCCTCGTGGCTGGTGTTGCCCCTGGAACTGGAGCCCCTCCCTTCCGTGCTGCCCTGAGCGCAGGCCGAGAAGCGTCCAGGGCCCGGGACCGTCAGCTCATGGAGCAGACACCGAGGGGAGAGGTTGCACACGCGGGCACTGCTGGCTCCACCTCCAGCACGGGGCGGCCACTGACAGCATCTGCATTGGGATTTACTGATAGAATGTTCTGGTGTCTAAAGGTCTATTTTAGTCCATTTATGCAGCTCTAGCGAAATACCTGAGACTGCGCCACGTACGAGGAACGGGGATTCATTTCCTCCAGCGCCGGAGCCGGGGAGCCCACGACCGAGGCGCCTGGCGAGGGCTGCTCTCTGCCTCCAGGATGGCGCCTCGATGCCGCGTCCTCCGGAGGGGAGGACCCCGCGTGCCCCGGGGCAGGAGGCTGCGCGAGCCTCTTCCACGAGGGCCTGACCCCGGCAGGGGGGAGCAGCCCGCCCGCGTGCCCACCGCCCCCCGAGGCCCAGCCGCTAACCCACTGTGCAGCCATCGGGCCTCGAACCCGACTTTGCAGGGGATGGTCCAGCCCGTGCGGGTCACCCAGGGCTCGTGCCGCAAACACCCTCGCAGGGGCGGCAGGCCACGCAATCGAGGCATTAACACTCCTTCCTGGGCACCTGGACGGTCACAAAAAGCAGGATAAATAAAAGCTAAAAATGGCCTCATGGCCATTCATGGCGGACTGTGCTGTGGGGCGAGTTTGCACCGAACTTGAACGAGATGGTCCCATGTTCCACTCCCCAGGCCCCGGACTCGGGAGCCGGGCTCAGGCCCACGGGCGGAGGCCGCCTGACCACGGCACTCGCTCGCTGCCCGCGCTCTCCGCACTGCGACTCTTTAAACATGCCGTGCGCCCTGGGAGCCTTTTAGGCTGTCCACAGACCGTGTCCTCGTTCTTTTTTCTCTTGTTTCTGGAACACCTGTGTGCATTTCACTGGACGTGGGGAGCAATTCATTCACCTGGTCCTGGCGGACGGGCAGCTGACGTCGTCTGTTCTCAAAGGTGCCGTGCGTGAAGCTCCTCGGGCCCCACGGCGCTGTGCGGATCTGCCTGGAGCAGGTTCCCCCGAGAGGTCCGGCCGCTCCCGTGCTTGGAGTTAGGGCCCTGACACGCACAGCGCTGTCCCCACCCCCACCGCGGTGGAAAACAGCCCCTCAGATTGGCGCTTCTCCCGCTGGTGCGTTTGTTCGTGCGTTTGAAGCCCTCAGTGGCCCCTTTGCTGGGACCATCCAGACGCTGCCCAGCGTGCTCTGGCAGTGGGGCAGTTCGGCCAGCGCCGGGGACACAGCGCCCGCGGTGGCAGCAGAGCAGGGTTCCAAGGTTGATCCCGTTTACGTGGCACAGCCAGGAAATCCAAAGAGCTGCTAAGCGTGTACACGTTACACTGAACATCGACATGGGTGCTAGCGACACGGTCTATCCGCGGGCCGTGCTTCCCTGCAGAGCCGGATGTTCGGTTTGGCTCTTAGCGCCAGGACGCCTGCGTTTCAGGGGGGTAGAACTACATTTTTTCTAGAATCTGACTGTAAGCCTGTTCTCAATGGGATCTTACCAATACACGAGACAGCACAAAACAGATGAGAAAAAAATCCTCTAAACGCGAGAGAAGAACTCAGCACCCTTCTCTGCGCAGCCTCTGCCCACGGCGCGTCTGGCCGTGCTGGGGACTCCCGGCATTCAGTGCCAGCGTCGCCTGTCCCACGGCCCTCCGAGGGCTTCCCACTCCGGGCTGCGTTTTGCACCTCACGGCCCCGCCTGGGTTCCTTGTGTGCTGTCTGCAGGTCAGCACCTGGTCAGCCTCGCCGGGAGGGTCTGTCGTGGCGAACTTCACGTCCTCACGCTGCCGAAAACGTCATTATTTTTCCCTTTTGCTCGAGTAGCTGGATGTAGAATTCTGGGTCCAGAATTGTTTTCTCTCAGAACTTTGAAGGTCCTGCTTCCCCGTGTCCCGGCGTCCGTGGGACGTGACGGCGAGGGTGACACTCACCTTTGCGGGCGACTCCTCCTCCCTCCTGCTCAGGTAAACGGCTCGGCCCTGGGTCGGAGGGTTGGACCCGAGGAGTTTTCCTGTGTTATTTCTCGAGTGTTTCTCTTCACCGTGCTCCGTACCGTCCTCCTGAAGCTCCTGCGTGGTGGACGGTAGAAGCCGGAGCCCTCGAACATGCTCCTAATTTTTATTTTTGGGGTGTGTTTTCTGTTCATTCATACTTCTGCTCTGTTGGGGACGTTTCTGAGCTCACTCGTCCTTGTCTCTGGACTCAGCGGCCCGCTGAGCTCGTCCCGCCGTGAATGTAGCGCTTGTCTCATGTCGGTTTGAACTCTCAGACCTCGGGTGGGTTCTGTCGCGATGCGGCGTCTGCCAGTCCTTCTGGCGCCAGGGCTGCAGTTCCTGCCGAGTCCTGTGCGCTCGCGACCCCTGCCCACCTGGGCTTGAGTCGTCTGGGGTCAGCCGCTGTCCCCTGCGGTGCTGGGTGTCCCGCGCCAGGAGGTCCCGGCTGCTGTGGGCTCCTCTTGTTGTCGCCTCTGCCAAAGTGCCCGGCTGCCGCCGCGGTCCTGCTCGCTGCTGTGGGTGCCGGGCCCCAGGGGGCGAGCCAGGCCTGCTCTCCAGCTCAGAGACTCCGTTCCACCTGTGAGACAGCGGCTGCCGGGCCCGTCTGCCCTCCACCCTCAGAGGGCCGTCCTGGGCGCCCTTCTCCACGGCGGCTCCCCGTCTGAGCAAGGCCATACTTCGGGGCACTGGGGCCGGGGGTGCGAGCTGGGGAGTCTCCGCCTGGCCCCACGGCCTGCTCCCAGAGACCAGGTCCCCCGACCACCTCCGTACTGCAGTGCCCGGGACGGTCCTGCACGGACGCTCCAGACCGATGGCCAGAGGCCACTGTGGCTGGAGAACAGATGGGCCAGGGGCTGCGTGGCCATCAGCGTGGGGGCGTCTGAGCCAGGGCCTGGCAGGGACGGGAAGGGGCTTTTCTTAGAGGAGTATATGGACGACTGGTTTAAAACCATGCTGGTTCAGGCCCAGCGCTCCTGCCTGTGGCCTGGCAGGCAGGGTGTCTTGCGGGGAAGACACGTGGATTTCACGGCGTGTTGGGAGCTTTCAGTCCCTTCAGTCACTAGCGGGCACTTGCCTGCCGCTGCTTCGCAGACCCTTGCCCTGCACGTCCCGGGGCTGGCGAGGGTGAGATGGTGTCGCTGACTCTCGAAGGAGTCGGGCAGTGCGTCCCTGGCATCTGGGCCTCCAGGGAGCTCACCTGCCCGGCGCTGGGATCACCTGTCTTCCCCCACCCCTGTGCTCCCTCTGCAGCTGGGGGCCCTGACGCCCCTCCACATCGCCGCTGCCCTCCCCGGGGAGGAGGGCGTCAGGATCACGGAGCTGCTGCTGCACGCCGTCACCGACGTGGACGCCCAGGCGGCCGACCAGGACCACGTGTACGGGCCGGACAAGGTGCGTCGTCTACGACAGGCGGGAGGGGAGCGGGGACCCCGCCAGGCCGAGGCGTCCTCTCTGACCGGGGCTCACTGAGCATCTCGGGCCCCCTGGAGTGGGACGGAGCCAGGGCAGGTCCAGAACAGCTCACCCAGATGACAGGCTTGTTTTGATATCAAGAGGCAAAACTAACGGATTAAAATAAGTGAGGTAAGAGCCGTTTGTTCAGGCAGCTCAGCCGAGCATGGGGGCCCATGAGGACAATTTGCAGGTAACTCGATGTCACGCCTTTCAGAAGGTTGTCTTTGAGGCTGTCCTGCCCCGCCCTGCCCCGAGCTGTCCCGCCCTCCTCCCAGCCACCCCTGTGCAGCAGGGTGGCCCCTCACAGCCCCTTTTTGTCCCCTTGGCCTCTCACCTGCTGTTCTCGGGAGCCATGGCCCTGAGCGGGCTCTGAGCTCGGAAGCGCCCGGCCACGGCGAGCTGTCGTCGACGCCCTTGTCCACTTCGGCCTGTGCTGAGGGCAGTGGCTGGCCTTGGGGTGGCATGTGGTTTCCCGTCCTCGGGGAGAGGCCGCCAGGCTGGGCTTGTCTCCTTTCGTTGACAAGAGTTGTGTTCACCCGGACAATGTGGGGACCCAGAGATGGTGGCGCTGCAGGGCCCCTGGAGCTCGAGTGCTGTGGCCGAGTGGGCTGATGCCTGTCCCCCGGGCGCCTGGCTGGAGGGAGCAGGGCAGGATGGGCTGGCTGCCCGGGGCGGGGCTTCCTTGGGGTGGCACCACAGCAGCCTCCGGAAGGCAGGGGTGGGGCCTGGGCACAGTCGCCCCAGAGGCCTGCCGGGGCGGGAGATGCGTGGGAACGGGGGGCGGGTGCAACATGAGGCAGGGGTGGGGGGCTGGCAGGGCTTGTGTCCCCAGTTCACACTGAGCTGTGGCCTCTCCACTTGCAAGTCAGCTCTAAACTGCCTCCGCCATGGGCCTTCCTGGCCTTTCCAAGCTCCCAAAGACCCCCGGCCATGGCCGTGGAGCCCCGTCTCCCTTCCTCGAGAGCTGAGCCCCTTGAGGGAAGGAGCTCTGTCGTCTTCGTCCTCGTGCCCCAAAGAGACTTGTCCAGCCCCGACACGTGGCAGAAACTGCTGGGCGTGTGGCCCGTGCGGCTCACTGCGTGTGAGATCCGTCAAGGGAGGGCGCGGCGTGGGTCTGACCACTTGTGGGTGTCGGGCACACGGAGCCCGGCGCCAGCACTCGAGGGTTTCGTGGGATGGAGCCACAGACCCGCAGCCCGGGGGAGGCTCGCTCGCTCCTGTAGCTGTTTCCCGGGGCTTGTGGCCTGCCCTGGCCGGCGTGTGTAGGTCTCCGGGCGCTCGGAGGAGGCCGGGGCCGGGACTTGAGCCCTCCGTTTGCGCACAGCCAGACCTGTTGTTCTCAAGCATGAAGCTCAGCAACGAGCCAGGCCCGCCCAGCACCTACTACAGCCCGCACGCGGCCCTCCCGCAGGAGGGGGGCAGGACGGCTCTGCACGTGGCCTGCGAGCGGGAGGGCAACAGCAAGGTGAGCGCGGGGCGCCCAGCCGCTGGGCCGCAGCCCACCAGGTTGTGCGTCCTCAGGCTGAGCCGTAGGCGACAGCCAGGGGCACGTGGGGTGGGAGGAGTGGAGGACGGGGGGCTCCGGCCCCAGGGCCGCAGGGACGACCGTGTCGGAGCAGCCCCGGGCCAGGCAGCCGTGTGTCTGTGCACGTGTGCGAGTGCCTTTGCCGTGCTTGCTGTGGGTGTGCGTGAGCTGCACACGTGTGTCTGTGTGTGTAGGTGTGCGCATACCCGCACACACCTGCAGGCCCCCGAGCACATCTGAGTGTGAGCGTGTGCATGTAGCTCAGTGTGTGGACACGGACATGGGTGTGGAAGCGTGTGCGTGCCTGGGGAATGCACACGTGCACGCGGTCTCTGGGTGCCGGCTCCGGGCTGGGAGCCCTTGCGTGTGGCCCCCCACAAGGTCCTGGCGGCTGTGGTCCAGCCAGTGGCTCTCCCACCTGCAGGGCGGCCGCCCTCAGTCCTCCTGCCTCAGCAGAGGGCACTGCCCACAGTGGAACAGGATGCAGTAGGGTAAAATCAAATAGGGCATAGCGCAGAGCGTGTGCCTAACCACGCGGAAGGCCACACGTGCCTACGTGCGCACAGGTGTGGGGCCTGGGTTGCAACGTGGAGTCCGTTTCTTGCTGCAGGACCCAGTCAGACACATGTGGGAGCCTCTGGCCGGGCTGCAGCTGTCCTGTGCTTCTGACTCCGTCTGCCGCTGTCACCGGCCTCTGACTCAGGCCCAGGAGCCCTGGGAGGTGTCCCATTGGCCCTCCAGCTGCTGCCTCCTGCCTGCCCTGGGGGTCGGTGCCCAGCAAGTGGGGCGCAGGAACTGTGCTGAGGAGGGCGCATGGCCGGGTGGGTGTGGGGACACCGGGCAGCCGGGTCTCAGCTCTGCCTGTGGTGGCCAGTGCAGCCTGGCCCGTCAGCGTGGGGCACACAGCAGGCTGAACCTCAGTTTACCTACCCATAAGATAGAACTGATGACCCTGGGCCTGTGGCAAGGTCAGTTTGCCGCCTCCCAGGGCGACCACTTGTGTGTTCCTGACACGTGGGGCCACGTGTGTGAGTGGCGTGTGCGGCGTTAGGAGGGACGGGGGCAGGTGGACACAGGCCGTCTGCTTCAGAGCATCCCTGGGCAAAGGCTCCTTGGTGGGTAGGGGAGGGAGCAGGCCCCTGGGGGTCTTCCTGGGGACGGGCCACCACCCTGACCAGAGCCGCCTGGGGGTCCCACGAGCACGGGAAGAAGGAAGAACGGGGCGGCTCGGCGGCAAGAAGGCCCGGGCCCAGCCACCGTGCACAGGCCTGGGCTTTGAACACCAAGTTCCCACCACACACTGTGTCCTTTTTGCTGACGGCAGGTTTGGAAAAGTTCTGGGGAAACAGAGTCAGGAGACACTAAACGTGGCGCTGTCGTAGGTGAGGGACAGACCTCGGGTGAAATCCAGCGCCGAGAGCACGAAGGCTGCAGCAGTGCGGCCGCGCATCTGCGCTCCCGCAGGGGAGGAGGGAGGGGGCCTCCCCCCAGGCCCCCAGCAGCTTCCGAGGGGAAGGGGAGGGGCGCGGAGGCCAGGCCAGCCGTGGGGGTCTCGGCAGGGCAGTGGCAGCCTGGCCTGAGATGAGAGAGTCCCTGCAGGTGAGCACGAGCCACTATGGCAACTCCCTGCGAGCTTCTGAGGGTAGAGGAAGCGGAGCGGGGAGAGGCCCAGGTTGTAAGACGGGTGTTTCCTAAAGGGAAGGAGAGTGTTGCCGGCTTCTGAGCGAAAAGGAAAGCGGAGGGACTGGCTGGGGGAGGAGGGCAGGACAGTGAAGGGGCGAGGGTGGGCCACCCCTCCAGTGCAGAAAATGCCCTCTTTGGCTGAGGCTGGGGGCATTTAAAAAAAAAAAAAAAGACAGGATCTTGCTCTGTCGCCCAGGCTGGAGTGCAGCGGCCCAGTCACCGCTCACTGCAGCCTCGAGCTCCTGGGCTCAAGGAGTCCTCCCAGCCCGGCCTCCCAAAGTGCTGGGCTGCAGGTAAGAGCCGCCACGCCCGGCCAGAGGCTGGGTTCTTCACATGCAGGTGTTCCCGCACGACCCGGAGCGCTGGCGAAGGAGGTGTTCCTAGTCACACCCAGTGCGTGCCAGGTCCTGCCCGGAGGGTCGTCTGGTCTGGACTATCCCTGTCCACTGAAAACAAGCTGTACATCAATTTACACCTCAGTGTTCTGTGGAAATGATGAATGTTTAGAGAACATCCTCTCAGTCTGAAGATGCATGCACTGACCCACCCACCCAC